CTATCGCAGCCACAGATTCTTTTGTAGCACTTTATGTAGTGTTTTGTTTATTGTCTCTTCTTTACTAGACTCTAATCACCATGATGCAGGAAACTCACTGCCTCATGTTCATCGCTCAGGAGCTAGCAGATAGTGTGTGCTTAGTGAATACTTGGCTATAGCTTTCCTGTACCTCCAGTCTTCTTTTCCAGGCTAAACCTGTCGAATACAGGTGAACAGGTTTTTAAATCTCCTGACTATCCTGCTTCCCTTCCTCAAAGTGGTTCAGACCTCCAAAAGCAGTCTGTCACAGAATCTATTCCTGTAGGTATAGACCAAGCAGGTCAGACTAAGGCAGGCCCCTCTTTCCAGACTCAGCTCTACATAATGGGAGGCTTTGCCTCTGAGTCAGCATATAAAACCAGGGGTATCACAGTTTATTGTGGGGTAGCAGGTGGGGAGAAGGGATTGGGCAACCTTTCAGACTTTTAGAAGTTTCTCTCTGAGAGAACCATGGACTTTTTAACAGTTTACAAATTACTCACTGAAACCATATGAACTAGTTTTCCTTTTTCCTCAAATGAGAAAATGTCAGTAATAGATGTATGATTGGCATTGGATTCGCATGAGCTTTTACTTACATTTCAAACTTTATTCTCCACTATTCACTTTTACAAACCATATACTCAGTTTAATTACAGAGCTAGGGTGTTTTTGGGACTTTAAATACCACCTGCAACCTTCTAATATTCTTCCTTCACATTAACTTCCCCTCCCTGATACCTTCCGTCAGATGAGATTGGAAACTAGGCTCCACCTATTCCTAGCTTTTATCAGCTAGGCAAAACACTTTATTTCTATCTTTTTGGTTGCCAAATAAGGGTAACTGCACCTACTTCATGAACTTATGAAAATTCAACAAGATAATTTTATGTAAAGTGCTTTAAAAAAGTGCAATTACCCTGAATTCTCACAGTGCTTTCCACTTTGTATTCTAGGCCATTTCTTCTCAAATTTTTCTGTGCCTATGAATCATCTGGAGATCGATCTTACTAAAATGCGATTTGGGTCCAGAAGCTCTGGAGTGGGACCTGACATTCTCCATTTCTAACAAGCTCCAGGTGATGCCCACGCTGCTGGTCCACTTACCACACTTTACAACGTTTAAAGCTACCCCAGCCCTCACATGAAAGCTCCACACCGCCAGATGCCTTGATAAATTTACTTTACATTTTTATCTTTTAAAGCATCTGAAACCGTCACTAAATATGTGTGCACTTAAGTATTTGGTTAATAACTA